CTTCCTCCTCCTCCTCCTCCTCCTCCTCCTCCCCCTTCTCTTCCTTTAGTAGCCCATTCTGGCCACGTGCTCCTGGGCCGCCACTGGCCGCGGCGGCGTGAGCCTCCAGGACCCAGGCAGGCCAAGCAACCAAGCAAGCAATCGAAATCTTTGCGTCGCTCGGACGTGTGCGTTGACTTCGGTTTTCACCATGGAGAAGCATAGTTGGTGTCCTTGCGAAAATACACGAACGAAGTCGGGATGGTCAGATATGTTAGGATGAATCGAAACTCAATGCAAGCCGAGCAAAATGCAGGCCGAGCAAGCAAGCAAAATGCAAGCAGGCAGTCCAGGGATGAGGATAATTCGCTCCCAGAGCGTTCCAGGGAACGCTCAAAGCGTTTTGGAGCGCTCTGAAGAAGCAGCCTTCCAGCCCTCGGAATTTTCCGAGTTGCCCTCAACCGAACTGGTCCTCTTCTTGAGTTGAGGGCATCCACGAAATTGGTGGTGACTAGGGATTTGGATACCATTACCGGGGGAAATCTCCACGGGTTTCACGGCTCCCCCTTGCCTTCTTTCAGCACGTTTCCCTTGCGAGGAGGAGGAGGAGGAGGAGGAGGAGGAGGAGGAGGAGGCGGAGGAGGAGCCCCCCCCCCCTCCCCCTTGGCTGCGCACGCGCCCTGGGCCGTGATGTGCGAGCCCCCCGCTTGGACGCCCCCCTCTCTTGGACGCCCCCAGAGGGAGCCTCCTACCGGCCTCCCGTTCAGATGCAACTCCTGGAATGTGAAACCGAGAACCCAGACATGATCGCGTCGTACAAAACATCAGGGCGAGAGGTTTCTGGCCAAGTGCGGCCTCGGGGGGTCCTCGCCGGGCCTCGGGACCGTCAAATTAGCCTGGCGAAGGACCCAACCATATGCAGTTGTGGGTATCGCATTCGGGGGAGCCCCGTATGGGGCCACGAAACGCTGTACTGGGTGGGGGGGACGCATGCGAACTGCGCCACTGGGGCCTTCGGTGGAGCTCCCTATGGGGCCACGAAACGCAGCCCTGGGTGAGGGAACCGCATGCGGGCTGTGCCACTGTGACCTTCGGTGGAGCTCCCTATGGGGCCACGAAACGTTGCCCAGGGTGGGGGAACCGCATGAGGGCTGTGCCACTGGGACCTTCGGGGGAGCTCCCTATGGGGCCACGAAACGCTGCCCTGGGTGGGGGAACCGCATGCGAACTGCGCCACTGGGACCTTCGGGGGAGCTCCCTATGGGGCCACGAAACGCTGTACTGGGTGGGGGGGACGCATGCGAACTGCGCCACTGGGACCTTCGGGGGAGCTCCTTATGGGGCCACGAAACGCTGTACTGGGTGGGGGGGGACGCATGCGAACTGCGGGCTGTGCCACTGGGACCTTCGGGGGAGCTACCTATGGGGCCACGAAATGCTGCCCTGGGTGGGGGGAACCGCATGCGAACTGCGCCACTGGGGCCTTCGGTGGAGCTCCCTATGGGGCCACGAAACGCTGCCCTGGGTGGGGGAACCGCATGCGGGCTGTGCCAGTGTGACCTTCGGCGGAGCCTCCCTATGGGGGTACGAAACGCTGCCCTGGGTGGGGGAATCCGCATGCGGGCTGTGCCACTGGGACCTTCGGTGGAGCTCCCTATGGGGCCACGAAGCGCTGCCATGGGTGGGGGAACCGCATGCGGGCTGTGCCACTGGGACCTTCGGTGGAGTCCCCTATGGGGCCACCCCCGCCCAGGGCTGTGCCACTGAGACCTTCGGTGGAGCTCCCTATGGGACCACGACACGATGCCCTGGGTAGGGGAACCGCATGCGGGCTGTGCCACTGTGACCTTCGGTGGAGCTCCCTGTGGGGCTACGAAACGCTGCCCAGTGTGGGGGAACCGCATGAGGGCTGTGCCACTGGGACCTTCGGGGGAGTTCCCTATGGGGCCACGAAACGCTGCCCTGGGTGGGGGAACCGCATGCGGGCTGTGCCACTGTGACCTTCGGTGGAGCTCCCTATGGGGCCACGAAATGCTGTACTGGGTGGGGGGGGCGCATGCGAACTGCGCCACTGGGACCTTCGGGGGAGCTACCTATGGGGCCACGAAACGCCGCCCTAGGTGGGGGAACCGCATGCGGGCTGTGCCACTGGGACCTTCGGTGGAGCTCCCTATGGGGCCACGAAGCGCTGCCATGGGTGGGGGGGGGGGGGGGGGCGCATGCGGGCTGTGCCACTGGGACCTTGGGTGGAGCTCCCTATGGGGCTACGAAACGCTGCCCTGGGTGGGGGAACTGCATGCGGGCTGTGCCACTGGGACCTTCGGTGGAGCTCCCTATGGGGCTGCAAAACGTGTGAGGGGTGTGCCAAGAGCAGAGGCAAGGAGGGGGAGGAGGGAGGAGGGAGGGGGCAGCGGGAGGAGAAGGAGACGCGGGGCACCGTCTCTTCAAAACGACGACCCAATACCACAGGATGGTTGGAAAAAACGACTCAGGTTGAAAAACCAGTCCCGAGAAACAGGTCGAGATTTCCAGGGACCTTGTCCTGAAATTATAGCCGGAGTGCAGTATCCCCAAACAGGGTTTTTAGACCCACTGCGGTTTCCAAGGTCGATTGCGTGCCCGCCTAGTGCGGGCTGGCATGGCATGTTAAAACATGCCTCCTCCTCCTCCTCCTCCTCCTCCTCCTCCTCGTCCACCTCCTCTTCATCCCGAAAGGCATCTCGGAACCCAGACTTGCGAGGATGTCTCCAGCGTAACGGGCTGGACCACCTCGCGCGCGGCATTTCGGACCCCAGAGTTGCGACGATGTCTCGGGCGAAACGTGCTGCGAGGAAGTCTCAGGCGAAACGGGCCGGACCACCTCGAGCGCGGCGTCTCAGAGCTCCGAGTTGCGGGGGCCTCCTGGTGCCTCCTGGGGCCTCCTGGGGACCTCCTGGGGCTTCCTCCCGGGCCTCCTGTGGCCTCCTGAACTCCACCTGAGGTTTCCTGAAGCATCTTGGGGCTCCCAGGGGGGATATCTAACCTGTGGCCGTTTGGGCCTCTCCAAATACAGGGGGGGGCCACAGGAGCAGGAAAAATCAACGAATCGACACCGGATGTGTATTAACTTGACACGTTCTGATAGAGGGCCTCCTGGGGCCTCCTGGGAGCCTCCTGGGAATCTCCTGCGGACCCCTGGGGCCTGTCCTGGGCGTCCTGCGGCCTCCTGGTGCCTCCTGGGCCTCCTAGGGACCTCCTGGAGCTTCCTCCTGGGCCTCCTGTGGCCTCCTGAACTCCACCTGAGGTTTCCTGAAGCATCTTGGGGCTCCTGTGGCCTCGTGAACTCCACCTGGGGTTTCCTGAAGCCTCTTGGGGCTCCCAGGGGGGATATCTAACCTGTGGCCGTTTGGGCCTCTCCAAATGGAGGGGGGGAGGCACAAGAGCAGGAAAAATCAACGAATCGACACCGGATGTGTATTAACTTGACACGTTCTGATAAGGGCCTCCTGGGGCCTCCTGGGAGCCTCCTGGGAATCTCCTGGAGACCCCTGGGGCCTGTCCTGGGCGTCCTGCGGCCTCCTGGTGCCTCCTGGGCCTCCTGGGGACCTCCTGGAGCTTCCTCCTGGGCCTCCTGTGGCCTCCTGAACTCCACCTGAGGTTTCCTGAAGCATCTTGGGGCTCCCAGGGGGGATATCTAACCTGTGGCCGCTTGGGCCTCTCCAAATGGAGGGGGGGGCACAAGAGCAGGAAAAATCAACGAATCGACACCGGATGTGTATTAACTTGACACGTTCTGATAGAGGGCCTCCTGGGGCCTCCTGGGAGCCTCCTGGGAATCTCCTGGGGGCCCCTGGGGCCTGTCCTGGGCGTCCTGCGGCCTCCTGGACCTCTCTGGGGCCTCCTGAGGCTCGCAGGGTCCCATGGAGGATATGTAACATGTGGCCTTCTGGGCCCCCAGGCTGGACCACCTCTTGCGCAGCATCTGAGAGCTCAGAGTTGCGAGAATGTCTTGTGCGAAACAGGCCGGACCACCTTGCGCACGGCATCTCAGATCTCAGAGTTGCAAGGATTTCTCAGGCGAGACGGGCCGGACCACCTCGCGCAGGGCATCTCAGAGCTCAGAAGTTCGAGGATGTCTCAGGCGAAACGGGCCGGACCACCTCGCGCGCGGCATCGGGGAGATCAGAGTTTCGAGGATGTCTCAGGCGAAACGGGCCGGACCACCTCGCGCGCGGCATCTTGGAGCTCAGAGTTGCGAGGATGTCTCAGGCGAAACGGCCCGGACCACCTCTCGCGCGGCATCTGGGAGCTCAGAGTTTCGAGGATGTCTCAAGCGAAACGGCCCGGACCACCTCTCGCGCGGCCTCTCAGAGCTCAGATTTAGGAGGATGTCTCAGGCGAAACGCTCAATCCCGGACAACTCAGAAACGAGAGTTGTGAGGATGTCTCAGGCGAAACGGGCCGGACCACCACATTTGTTTGAGGATGTCTCTGCTTAGCTTTCCCTCGGCCAGAATTAGCTTCTATCACAACAGCACCCCGTTCAGCAAGCTGTTTGGGGAAAAAGTCAGGACGTCGCATACTGGGTTGAGAACGGGTGCTGGCATGTCCTTGGTCGAAAAAATAGCCTGACTGAATCCCTCGAGGTCCGCCTGATTCCTGCTTAATTCCGTTCAATCGGGCTTCATCCCGGTTTTACTTCGGCCCAATCTGGCCCAATGGCCCCCAAATCGGGCTTGAGGGCCCGTAATCGTTATGACGCAGACCTCCCAAGATTTGCCTCCCAACTTCTGCCCGCCCTCCACCCCTCTTTTTATCCGCGGGGAGGGGTTGGGCACGTGCTGTTGGGACGGGTGGAGGAGGGGTTGGAAGAGGAGGAGGCGGAGGAGGAGGAGGAGGAGTAGGAGGAGGAAGAGGAGGAGGAGGAGGGGGAGAAGAAGGAGGAGGAGGAGGGAGCAGCCCCCCCGAGATAAATACCCCTATCCGGAGTGACGAGTCTTCTGCCAGCCTTCTGCCCCCCCCCCCTCCATGCCTGCGGCGCAGGCTGCTCGGGGTCGAGCGCGGCCTGACGATGACGCCTCTGCAGCGCGCCTCGCTCTTCGTCGCGGCGGCGCCGGACGCGGACGCGGCCCTCGACGCCGACGACGGAGGGCCCGCCAGCGCAGCCGCGGCGGAGGCCGCCGAGGGTGGGGTGGGGGGCTGCTGTTGTTGTTGTTGTTGTTGTTGGTGGTGGTGGTGGTGGTGGTGGTGGTGGTGGTGGTGGTGTTGTTGTTGTTGTTGCTGGTGTTGTTGATGTTGTTGTTGGTGGTGTTGTTGGTGTTGTTGGTGTTGGTGTTGGTGTTGGTGTTGTTGTTGGTGTTGCTGGTGTTGCTGTTGTTGTTGTTGTTGTTGCTGTTGTTGATGTTGTTGTTGGTGGTGTTGTTGGTGTTGTTGGTGTTGGTGTTGTTGGTGTTGGTGTTGTTGTTGTTG